CTGCAGTCTTCAACCATCTCAACATTAAGAAAACAAAAATTCTCACCACTGAACCTTTAGGTGGCATCATAATAGATGGAGAAATGATTAAAACTATCAATGACTTCATCTAACTTGGATCTGCAAACAATAGACTTGGAGATCAGGAGTCAGGGACTTCTTCAAATTACTGAGAAACAATGTTATTTGAGGACCAAGGTGTACTTGAGTCAGACCATAGTCTTTTCAATGACTTGCTATATATCTGTGAGCTGGGCATTGAATTAGGATGCTAGAAGAAGAATTGATATCTTTGCACTGTGGTGCTGGAGAAGAGTACTCCCAGTACATGGACTGACAAAAGAACAAACAGAATATGTCTTGGAGAGGGTACAGCCAGAGTGCTTCTTGGGGGCAAAGATGGTGAAGCTTCATCTCACATTCGTTTAGCATGTTGGTAGGAAAGGCTATTCCTTGGAGAAAGACATCATACTTGGAAAGGTGGGGGGATGGTGAAAGAGAGGAAGAGCCTCAACCATATGAATTGACACAGTGACTACAGCAATGATGGTCTTGGATGGCACAGGATAGGACAGATCTGTTGTTCATAGGGTTGCTATGTGTCATATTCAACTAAACAGCACCTAACAATAACATATCAGTTTGTGTCACACTTATTTATTTGGAATATGTATATAGTGTTAGGATTGCTGAATAAAATAATATTTCTATTTCCAACTCTTTAAGGAAGTGCCAAACTGCTTTCAATAGTGATTGCCCCATTTTATATTCCCACCAACTATGTATGAGAGTTCCAGTCACTACATACTCTTGCCAGAATTTCCAGCTTCTTTTTTTCCTTGTTTTCTACAGGCAGTTGCTTTGGGTCTCGGCAGAGGGACATAGGGAGTTTCAAAACAAAGTTTGGCCAGGGTAATAGGGTCAGTACCTCATGCCTGATATTGCTAAAATATGTTGTATAGGTTGCTGACAAGAATATCAATAGTGAATCTACTATGGAAAACTATTTGGTGGTTCCTCAAAAAATTAAATACAGAATTAACCACATGATTTAACAGCACCACTCCTAGGTTCATTTGTTGATGTTGTGTGTCATGAAGTTGAGTACAATTCATAGTGACACCCCAGCAAGTTTTCAGAAGCAGTAAATTGCATGGAAGATTACCCAACCTTCTTCCGTAGAGCAGCTGGTGAATTTCAACTGGATGCCTTTGGGATTGCAACCTGCAAAAGCTGGAATCTATATCAGGTAAAATCTATCAAAGAAGGAAAATGCCACTCATAGAGCATGATGGAGAAGTGGTAAGGCTGTCAAAGGTGGAAAACCCTGTTAAAGATAGAAAACATGAGACCTGGAAAAACCAGGCAGCCCTATTGAATTCTGGCTATCATGAGTCTCATTGCTCATCTATTTCTCATTTATCAACATAGTGCTAAAGATTAGGTCATTAGGTGAAATCAACAGTATACAAAAATAGCAGATGACTACACCAGATTACAAAATAGAGCATCTGTGTTTCATTAACTATGTGAAGGCATTTGACTATGTGGATCACAACAAATTGTGGCCAACATTGAGAAGAATGGGAATCCCAGAACACTTGATTGTGCTCTTGAAAAACCTATATTTGGGCCAAGAAGTAGTCATCAGAACAGAGCAAGGAAACTCTGCATAGTTCAAAATCAAGAAAGGAGTGTGTTAGGGATGTGTCCTGTCTCCATACCTTTTCAATCTATATGCAAAACAGATCATTTGAGAGGTTGGATTTTATGAGGAGTGTGTCATTAGGATTGGAGGAAGACTCATCAAAAACTTACGTTATGCAGATGACACAACCATGCTTGCCAAAACTGAGGAGGACCTGAAATGTTTGCTGCAGAAGGTCAAGGACTATATGTAGTCTTATATGGACTGAAACTCAACATCAAGAAGACAAAGATTCTCACCACTGGGCCAATTGACAGCATCATGATACATGGAGAAGAGACTGAGATCATTAACAGTTTCAGCTTGCTCAGATCTGCAATCAACACTCTTGGCACCAGCAGCGAAGAAAGCAAAAGAAGAATTAATTGCTCTTGGGAAAGCTGCTGTCAGAGACCTCTCCAAAGTGCCAAAAAGCAATGATGCCTGTCTAGAAACTAAGGTATGTCTGCTTTAGGCTATGTTCTTTGCAATTACTTGCTATGCATCGGAGATCTGGATAAGACCAAAGAGGACAGAAGAATTGGTATCTGAGTTGTGGAGCTGGAGAAGAGTGTTGAACATACCATGGACTGCCAAGAGAACAAACAGGTTTATCCTGGGGAGGATGACACTAAGCTGCTCCTTGGAGTCAAGGATTTTGAAGCTCTGTCTGACATACTTTGAGCATGTGACTGGGAAGGACCAGTCCCTAGAGATGGATTGACACGGTAACTGGGGTCAGGAGGTTGGGTATGTCCAAGACAATGAGACTAGCTCAGGATAGGGCAGGGTTTAGAGTTACTGTACAGAAACAGCAGAAGTATATGGCCTTAATGAATAGGAATTCATTTTCTCACAGTTAGGAGGGTAATAACCTGAATTCAGGGAGCCAGTTGTAAGAGATGGTCCTTTCAACATTTGTGTATCCTGTGTTCTTTGGAAATCTCCATGTGTCTTAGTGTCGATCAGTCTTCCTCTGAGTCTCAGAGATTCTTGGCACAGAGACCCTGGGTCCAAAGGATGTGCTCCACTTCCAGTTCTTCTTTCTTGGTGTTAGTGAGTCCCTCTCCTCTCTGCTCCCTTCTCTCTCTCTTAATCTCTTATAAAATTTAAAAAAAATGTGCCTCAAAGGGTGTGAGTTGAGTCACACTATCTTCTAAGCCTGTGACTCATCCCATCCAGATTATGCCTCATTAACATATCAAAAACCTCATTACCATCAAGTTGGAACTGACTCATTGATGACCCTCCAGTAGGTTTTTGGGGGCTGTAAATCACCTATCTTTCTCCTGAGTAAATGCTGGTAGATTCAAACTGACAAGCACTACCTTTGGGCTAGCCACAAATTCCCTATGGAGAAGGCCTCAGAGCTCCCTGATTAATATATGCTGTGGTTGTTATGTGCCTGACTCATAACTGACTATCGACAGGGTTTCCAGAGGCTGGAAATCTCATGGGAGGGGATTGCCCATCTTTTTCCATCAGAGCAGTTGGTGGATTTGAACCAGTGCCTTTGGGTTGGCAGCTCAGCTCTTCACTACTAGGCCTCATTAACATGTAGAGATTAAGATTTACAGCACATCACAAAAGGAAGATAATTCACTGAATGGAGGACAATCACAATAAGGGAGTCATGGCCTACCCAAGTTGAAATCTATTTTGAGGGGACACAATTCAATCCATGACTCCCCACCAGGTATCCTTTGTGGTAAGTTCCCTAAAAGAATGATGCCCAACAAGCTGCCTCAGTAGAGTCACTGTAATATGCACATTGTGTCCTTTGTCCTGCCCAGAGGAACCATTTCTCTTACTGTGTCATTGTTACTTTTAGGATTTCTAAATGGAAATTCTAAAGTCCTCACCTGCAGGAACTTTTGGCCCTCACAGAAGGTACATGTCAAGCTCTCCACATGGCCCCCTGAGTTGTTGCTGTTATGTGTTGTCGAGTCAGTTGTGACTCAGAATGACTCTCTATGTACAATAGCCCTGAAACCTGCTCTATCCTAAGTCAATACACACCTACCCCTATGACCCCAGTCCCTAAGTCAATCCATCTCATCAAGAGTCTTCCTCTCTTGCATTGTCCCTCCACTCTTCCAAGCGTGACGTCCCTCTCCAAGGACTGGTCCCTCCTTGCAACATGCCCCAAGTATGTCAGATCAGCCTCAGAATCCTTGCCTTCTAGGAGCAGCCTGGTTTCACCCTCTCCAGGATAAACATGTTTGTTTTCCTGGCAGTCCATGGTATATTCAATACTCTTCTTCAACACCACAACTCAAAGGCATCAATTCTCCTTCTATCATCCCTAGTCTTTGTCCAGCTTTCTGACTCACAGCAAGTAATTGCGAACACTATGCTATTTACTCATCAAACTAAAATCCTTATTGTACATTTTCCTTTGGGTTCTTTTTCTATTTGGTGTTTGAAAACTTTGCCTTTTCTTTTTAAACTGTGGTTTTTAGGATTATTATCCACATCTGTTGCCTATGTTTTCTTGTGTCTTTGGAGAAGAGGGCTTAACTTGCCATCTGACCCGGAAGTCCCCTGAACTAAATCAGTTGAGAGTTTGCCATGTATGTGTCCCAGGCCCTGCTCTCAGCACCTGGGGGGGGAGACTTTGAGAACAAAATAGGCAGAAATCCTTGCCTTTGTGGAATTCAGTTCTGGTAAAGGAAGTCAGGCAGTAAACAGGAAGCACAACATACAAGTGGATTATAGAATATGTTATCAGGTAATAAGCTATAGGGGAAAAAAGAGCAACAGCAAGATAAGGGGCCAGCAGTACAGGAGTGAAGTGTGAAAGTGTCTATTTTACATTGTGTGGTTAGGGTAAGCTTCAATAAGCTAAAGTCTTGAGCAAAGAGATGAACTTTGAACACATTATACTAGTGAAGTGAGAGAAGTGAAGGAGAGCTGAATAACAGACTGAGCACAGGGAAGTTACTAAAGTCACACCATAGAGAAGATAGAACTTGCCAGAAGATAGAACTTAAGACAGGAGCCAGGGGGATAAGTGCATGGAACACAGCTTTTAATTTTGTTTCTGTTTTTTAAATGAAGGGCCAGTCTTGATGTTCAAAGAAAGAAAAGCCAGGACTTGGCCCTTACCAATGCTACTGGCAGAGATTTCTGGCATGGTTCTCAGGGGCAGGGGTGTTGGCTCAGAGTACAGGGTGAGTGCCCATCACAGACTACTAGTGCTGTGACCCTGGATGTGCTACCTCCTGCTCCAGGCCTCGGCTGCCCAGCCTGTAAAATATCTAGTTGGGCCACAGGACCTGTTCATGTCTATGATTCCACCTTCTGCCTGTAGGAGGGGAACACAGCCCTTCACCTGGCTGCCAGTAGGGGCCACATATCTGTGCTGCAGAGACTGGTGGACCTCGGACTGGATCTGGAGGAGCAGAATGCGGTGAGTCACCACCAGCCTGGCCTCCCTTGCAGACCTGAGCTATGGCCCTGGGGCTTTCAGAGATAAGAGATCATTCCTTACTCCCCACTTTTGGGAACTCACAACCCACAGGGTGGTCTGATTTTCCCTTGGTAGAAGCCCCAAAGCCAGGACATGGGAGACAAGCTTCTGAACTGGCAACCACCAAGAAAGACAAATGACAACCCAAGGTTCCAGGCACTCAGGGCACATTACCAAGAAGACACGTGGTGTGAGCTTATAGAAAGGATGTCATCATGGCCAGAATGTGCAGGGATGGCTTCTTGGAGCAGGACGGAGTAGGTGGGGAGCAGGGTGAAGTGGGTCGAAGGATGAGGAGAACAGAGCAGAGGTGTGGAAGGAAAGTGTCAGGGCGGGGATCAAGGTCATTGTCTTCCATGACTAAAAACTCAAACACCAGACACCATGGTGTTCGAGGTGACCTCTCTCCTCAGGCTTTGGCCTCAACCTCCCTACAGGCCTCACACGTCTCCCTGTGTGTTCCAGGAGGGTCTGACAGCCCTGCACTCAGCTGCTGAAGGGACCCACCCTGACTGCGTGCAGATCCTCCTCAGGGCTGGAAGCTGTGTGAACGCCCTCACCCAGGTAGCCTTGATGGCCGTCATCTGTCCTTGGTCAGTGAGCCTTACCTGTGTCAGAAACTGCCACAGCGATTCCAGAATGATGAGTGAATAGATGCTTCAAGGAAGCAAGCCCAGGCTCAGGCCCAGCCTTCTCCACTGCTGAGCTTTGTGACCTTGGGCAAGTTACTTGCCCTCTCTGAACCTTATTTCCAGATTTAAAATGAGAATATGTGCTTACAATGATTTATACATTGTTGTGAGGATTAAATACCTAGCCCAGTGCTGAGGACAGAAAGTGAACTGTTAGTTAAAATGTCTTTTTGTTTGTTTTTTGTGTACCTTAGAGTTGGAACCAACCCATAGCTGACCCTCTGGCAATTAATTTTCAGAGGCAATTAATCGCACGGGAGGAGATTGCCCATCCTTCTCCCATGGAGCAGCTGATGGCCTTCATGATTGAAGTGTAGCTTCTTCCCTCTACACCACCAGAGATCCCTGTATAATATCTTACCTTTTAAAAATTTTTTTAAATTCTGATTTTAGTGAAAGTTTATAGAAAGATGAGTTTTCATTCTTTCAGTGATACACTTTTTCCTCCCTCCCCAATTAGCTTTGTAATACATGTTTTGTTTCAGGTTGTTGACTGTCACACATCTAATATCTAATTATCTTTTCCTTTCAGATAGTCCTTCCAGTGGAGTGTTCATTTCCATTCATTCTTTTCCTGCTGTCCCTCACCCTACCGTGTCCATCCTGTTTTTATAACAGTGGTTTTATGCAGCATTTGTCCTTATGTGACTGAGACCTTTTACAGCATAATGTCTTCCAGATTCATCCCTAAAGTTACTCAGAAAATAACTAGGAACAATTCTAGAAGCCCATGAATAGACTTCCAAGCATAATGAAAAGCTTACAGTCAGGAGAGGATAGATGAATGGGATCTTCTAAACATCAAATCCTTGTGCACAGCTAAAAACTTCTCTGACAGGGTCAAAAGGAAACCCACAGACTGGGAAAGAAATGGTTGGTAATAATATCTTGTTGTTGGCACTGGATTATTCACAAATCCCCTTCCCACCTAGAACAGAACAAACAACTCACTGCTGTCCAGTTACTTCCAAATTAAAATGACTGTCCATCCATCCAGGGTCTGAGGCTGTAAATCTTTGTGAAAGAAAGCTGCCGTCTTTCTTCCTCAGAGTGGCTTGTGGATTCAAACCGCCATCCTTTCAGTTAGCAGCCCAACAAGTTATGCATTATGCTTTGAAGATTGCTTCCTTCATACCTATACCCTCATAAAAGTGTCCCCCACTTTATAGATGAGGAAATGGAAGCGTAGGAGATTTCATTGAATTTCTCAGGGTCACAGAAATGGTAGGGGAAAAGCTGTTTCCTTGATTCTGGGACTCAAGGCCTGGAATGTTTGCCCTCAGAGGGGTGTGTGTGTGGTCTTTGACATGTCAACCCATCTGAGCCTATGACACTGGGATGACCCCTTTTCTCTCTCTTTTTTAAATTTTTATTAAATTTTATTAATTTTAATGAACATTTACAGAGATTTTGGGTTTCCATTTATTCATTGTTGCACTATTTTCTCTACCCTCCCCCTCAGTTTGTTCCTCTTTTTTTTCCCCCCTTGAAAGTCTGTTTTAATTGTCCAATTGCCACAGTGCTTATCAAAGCCAGTTCTGATTAATCTCCTTTGTCAGTGTGTCCTTTGCCATTCCCTATCACTCCTCCCTGAGAGAGACTTCACTTTGATTCATAA